GAACTGATAATGCGGCTCCAAATTGAGGGGGACAAACGAGGTTCCGACAAGAAGTCAGGAAAGCATGTCATGCAGGCTAAAGAAAATGTTGTGGAACATGGACAAGGGTCAAAGTTCAGCAACAAGAAACGGAAGCATGATGACAATGGTCCCAAACAAGGATCCCCTAATAAGATAAATAAAGGGATCAACAACGGGTTCAACAAAAGGTTCAAAGGCAAGTGTTTTGTGTGCGGCAAAGATGGGCATTGTGCTAAGGATTGTCACGTTCGCAAGGACGGAGGGAGTTCAAGCAAAAAGCCAACACAAGCCAACATAGCTAAGGATTTTTATCTTTCCGATGGAGTGGCAGACATCAATCTTGCTGCAGTAGTCTCTGAAAAAAATTTGGTGGGCAATCCCAAGGAATGGTGGGTGGATACTAGAGCAACCTGCCATATCTCTGCATATAAGAAGATGTTCACAACCTACAAAGTGTGGAAAGTGGGGAACAACTTTTTATGGGAAACTCCTCCACTTTAACTGTAGAAGGACAAGGAAAGATTGTGCTGAAAATGACCTCGGGGAAAAAACTCACTCTTAACAATGTACTCCATGTGCTAGAGATTCGTAAGAATTTGATTTCTAGTTCATTGTTGATCAAGAATGGGTTTAAATTAGTCTTTGAATCTGATAAAGTTGTACTCTCCAAGAGTGGAATGTATGCAGGGCGAGGTTACATGAGTGATGGGCTTTTTAAGCTCAATGTAAATACTGTTATACCTAATTTGGTTTTTAATAATAAGAACACATCTTCTGTTTATATTACTGAGTCTTCTTTCTTATGGTATGGTAGATTAGGACATATTAATTTTAATTCTTTACGTAGACTTGTTGCTTTAGAATGTTTACCTAACTTAGAATTTGATCCTAATCATAAATGTGAGAATTGTGTTGAGGCAAAACTCACTAAGGCATCATTTAATAAAGTTGAAAGAAGTACTGAACCTCTAAGTTTAATTCACACAGATATCTGTGATTTAAAATTTGTTCAAACTAGAGGAGGTAAGAAGTATTTTATTACTTTTATTGATGATTACACTTGATATTGCTATGTTTACTTGTTGAGAAGTAAAGATGAAGCCGTAGAAGCTTTTAGGCAATATAAACTTGAGGTTGAAAATCAACTTGGCAAAGCTATTAAGATAGTGAGGGGTGATAGAGGTGGTGAGTATAATGCCCATTTGAAGAATTTTGTTCTGAACATGGTATTATTCACCAAACCATTGCACCTTATTCTCCTCAGTCAAATGGTGTAGCTGAGAGAAAGAATCAAACTCCTAAAGAGATGATGAATGCCATGTTGATTAGTTCAGGGTTACCTCAGAACTTGTGGAGGGAGTCGATTTTGTCTGCTAACTTTATCCTCAACAGGGTACCCCACAAAAAACTCAATCAAACACCTTATGAATTATAGAAAAGTTGACGACCTACCTATAATTACCTCAAAGTGTGGGGGTGTTTGGCCAAGGTGGCAGTCCCCTAGTCCCAAAATGACTAAGATAGGACCAAAGACCGTTGATTGTGTGTTCATTGGATATGCCAATAATAGTAGTGCATATAGATTTTTAGTTCATAGATCTGAAAATCCAGATATGCATGTAAACACTATTATTGAGTCAAGAAATGTATCGTTTTTTTAACACATTTTTCCTAGCTAGGAAATTAAAGAGAAAAGTTTAAATAAAAGAACTTTTGATACTGCTATGGGTAGCAGTGAAGACCAAAACGATAATGAAGTAGATGAACCTAGACGTAGCAAAAGGGCTAGGATCTCTAAATCATTTGGTCCAGCATACCTATTAAAAAATGAGCCTTAAAACTTCAAGGAAGCAATGTCAAGTCCTGAAGCTCCATTGTGGAAAGAGGTTGTGAATAGTGAAATTGAATTAATACTACAAAATCATACTTGGGAACTGGTAGATCTTCCACTAGAATGTAAACCTCTTGGATATAAGTGGATATTCAAGAGAAAAATGAAAGCAAATGGTTCAATAGATAAATACAAGACTAGGCTTGTTGTTAAGGGATACTGGCAGAAGGAAGGCCTTGATTATTCTGACATCTATTCCCCAGTGACAAGAATAATATCTATTCGCATGTTGATTGCGATTGCAGCTTTGTATAATCTAGAAATACATCAAATGGATGTTAAAACAGCTTTTTTGAATGGCGAGTTAGATGAGGAAATCTACATGGAACAACCAGAAAGGTTTCAAGTTCCCAGCCAAGAGAAAAAGGTTTGTAAACTTGTCAAATCCCTTTATGGATTAAAACAAGCTCCAAAACAATGGCATGAAAAATTTGATCACGCTATGCTTTCGAATGGTTTTAAGATAAACGAATGTGACAAATGTGTCTATGTTAAAAGCACAGACAAATGCTATGTCATAGTTTGTCTTTATGTGGATGACATGCTTATTATTAGAAACAATAATGACATGATTAAATCCACAAAGAAAATGTTGAACAAAAAGTTTGACATGAAAGATTTGGGAGTAACAGATGTAAATTTAGGAATAAAAATTACTGGAACATATGAAGGATATGCTTTATCTCAATCTCACTATGTTGAGAAGATTCTGGAGAAATTTGAAAAGCATGACAACCGTCCTGCTAAAACACCTGTTGACATTAGTCTTCATTAGTCAAAAAATACAAGTGTGGGCATATCACAATTAGAGTACTCTCGAATAATCGGAAACTTGATGTACTTAATGAATTACACTAGGCCAGATTTAGCCTATGCTGTAAGCAAATTGAGTAGGTACACAAGTAATCCAGGGTCCGATCATTGGAAAGCGATAATTAGGGTACTTAGGTATCTAAGACATAACTACAATTATGGCTTACATTATACCAATATCCAGCAGTATTCGAGGGGTACAACGATGCAAATTGGATATCGGATACTAAAGACTCAAAATCCACTAATAGATATGTCTTTACCTTGGGAGGTGCTGCAGTCTCTTGGAAATCCTCCAAGCAGACATGCATAGCAAGGTCGACACTGGAATCTGAGTTTATCGCATTAGATAAAATAGGAGAAGAAGCAGAATGACTTCGTAATTTCTTAGAAGACATTCCAATGTGGCATAAACCTGTGCCAGCTATATGCATTCACTGTGATGGTGAAGCAGCAATAGGACGGGCACAAAATCATATGTATAACGGTAAGTCTTGACACATTCGTCGAAGACATAATACCGTTGGGCATTTGCTCTCATATGGAATAATTTCCATAGAATATATAAAGTCAAAGGAGAATATTGCAGATCCATTGACTAAAGGGCTAGCCAGAGAGCAAGTATACTATTTATCGAGGGGAATGAGATTAAAGCCTATTACTTAAAAGTCGCCATAATGGCAACCCAACCTAGTTGACTGGAGATCCCAAGATCTAGGTTCAAAGGGACAACCAAATTATGGATGACTTCACGTATCACTAAGGAGGTTTACTCCTACCCATTTCTATGATAAGAATAGTGATACCTGTAGCGTTAGTAGGATGAGTTTTGCTTTTAATGATTCTTATAGCTTGGACATCCAAGTAGGGTATAGCAGGATACTTTTAATAAGAAATCACCTATATGAGTGTGAACTGGGCCGGTTCTGTGAGAATTGAGAAGGCCAAATTTTCTAGAGCGCTCATAAATTACCAAGCGTTGTTCAGGGCCAAAATGAACACAAACATAAGAACCAAACTGTGTCTGCAGATGCACTATGTGTAGTCTATTGTCTTAGCTTACACAAACAACTGAACAATTCAAGGTAACGCGTCCACTAGTAAGCCAGTAAGTCCGATAGGCTTTCACTAGAGGAGGTTCAAAGCCAAAAGCTGTCTATCTCGATGTGGTGTATCTTCTTAATGTACTCTTTTTTTGTCTACATCTTGTTGCATGTCCATTCTCGTGAATTCCATTCATGTGGGGTATTGTTGGAAAATGGCTTTTGTATTACCTTATTTTTTTTGTTAACTTTAAGCATTAATTAAGGTGGGACCCAAGCGTTATTTTTAACGCTTCTAATTGGGTTCATGTTTAATGCCGCGTAGTGAATAAATTCATGTATTTGGTTGCTCAAAACCATTTCGGGATGAATGAGAATTCAACGCTCATTTTCGGGTTCGTGGAACTAGTTTTTGGTGGGTTTCTTACACATTTGTAAAATGTGCTTATCCCACATTAGAAAGGCTTGAGGTTTTGAATGAGTTTATATACCTTAACTTGGGATACTTGGGATGAGCCCCAAGGGGTACCCAAGTTTGTGGAAGAGTGAGGTTATGGGTGAAGTAGGCTAGACCCATTGGACTCAAAATTAAAACCACACGCGCGTTGCCGCCGTTCGGTCGATCAAGCGGGCTGGGCTGGGCTTGGGCTTGTCCAGCCAAATACTTATCTTTTTGAGCCAAAAAATTTTGTAATTTATTTATTTTTTTTTTATTTTGTTTTCAAAATTCAAAATAAATTGGTCCAGAATTTTGCTTTCACTCAAACAAATCCCTAACGGGTTCAGACCCACCCGAACAGGTTCAAAGGGTTCAAAAGAGATTCAACTCTAATTGAATCTGTCTAAACAAATTCAAATCTGTGTGGCACCTGTTCAATCTGTCCGAACAGGTTTATACTTGTTCGGAACAGCCACCTTTTTGCCTATATAAAGCATGCTTCCAACAATTCATTTCATTCAATTCTTTCCCTCAAATTTTCGTCCTTCTTTTCCTGTTCTTCTTGTGTTCTTGCATTAGTTTTTGCATTTAATTTTAGGAAGAAAAAGAGAGAGTTACAACAGAGGTTTGGTTCGCCAGACTTAAATTTGTAATGCTACAAATTTGAGTGTTAGTCATTGCATCTTGGGAAGTAGACGCGGGTAAAACTCGAAGCACCGAAGCGAGGGCGAAATCTACTTTAAGGAGATTGTGTTCAACATAAGTCTCAATATTAATTTCTGTAAGCATTTAATTTGGGAAATAACTTATATAATTATTTTCTAAATTATTTTATTTTATTGTTTATTTAATTTATACATTTAATTTACGCACATACACTTTTGTGGGTTCTAACATTCACTCGTGCATCTAAAATAGAATCTCTTCGCACCACTGCTCTCACTTACTCAAACACCACTTGATGTGCATGAAAGTCCCACAATGCCATCAAACATAACTATAAGAACCAACCATTTTCGACTCAAACCACATGTCAACAGCTTCAGAAACAGTGAGAAAAATTCGCCCTTTTCCAATTTTATCAACAAACTTGGCTACTTTTAGCTTGTCAATCACTTGCCACCTTGGATTGGCAACAGCTAGCTGCAAAAACATAGATACATATTCTTTTAGCAATTAGAAACGCAATCCAATTAAAATTTCTAGAGGTAGGGAGGATCACAGCCTCACTTCTATGCCTCGTGCGACCAATTCCTTGTGCAGTTCTTCTAGTGCCAAGATTCCTGAAGTATCAATATTCATCACATCTACAAAATCAAGAAACTTTGCAAAATCAGCATCTATTTAGCAAGAATTGTTGGCTTGAATACTAGATGTCAAACCAATAAAACAGTTGAAAAAACTTTTAACTTACTGGACATGTCAAGAACTACTATGTGAATCTTTCCACTTGAAATTTCTTCTGTTCTATCTTCTTCTATTACCCATCTCATTATCCTAGAACAATTAACATTACCAACTTCTTTTAACTAATTAAAATTACACAACGATGATTTTTTAGCAAAACAATAATTTTACCTTTCTCTAATGAAATTGGCATTAGCAAAACAAAGTAAACCAGTATTGAAGCGGATTATCAAGATGCCTGGAGTTCTAATGGCCGCAGGATATTGTTTGATGTCACAAAAGATATCTGTTTCTGGAAGTCTTCCTAGTACCTCTGTCCCGGGTCTAATGGAATTTAGTATTATCTTCGCGAATGAGATTGTGACCTGCAATAAATCCAACACATGATTGAGGACCACTAAGGATTATCCCAATTTTCATTTTTGATGTTATTAGTACTATGCAAAAAATAAAAATATAGTAAAAAGATAAGAAAGAAATGAAATTGAGCTTGTATGCAACTAGTCTTACAAGAAATTAAGATCATACAGAAAAAAATAAAAAAAAAATAAAAAAACTATGAGAATAAGTCAAACCAGCACTCACAAGCTTCTACCTGATTCACAAATTAAGGCAAAAATGTCGGTTGCAAGTTGCAAACAACAGGACACATCAAAAAGGTTGACCTTAGTCAGCTGTTTTGGAATCTTAAAAACACAAATTGGTTGATCAAACTGTGTCTGTTGCCAAATTATCTAGTTCCATCATGAAATAGTACTCACCGGTCACAAGATCATCGAGTTAAAGCTTTTAATATGTGAATTTTTTTCAACACACTATTTTCATGTGCATATATGATTAATGATACATATCAGTGAACAAAAGTGGACAAAAAAAACATAATTTACCGCTGTTAGAAGACCAATCTCCACGGATGCAAACAAGACACCAAAAAAAGCACCAATGCAAGCAAGGAAGTCTAGTTTGTCGACCTTCCAGATATTGTAAGCTTCATTTATGTTGATGAGTCCAGGAAGAGCCGACAATATGATTGAGGCAAGGATGGCAATGGGAGTGAAGTATAAAAGCCTAGTCAACAATTCCAGTGATATAAGCACTGTAATGGCCATAACTATATTTGACACCACAGTTTGACAACCCGCGCTGAAATTCACAGCAGTTCTTGAGAACGAGCCTGCCAGACATTTTCAAATCAAAACAAATTTTCAACATATGTTATGATGGTGTGAGCTTGATAGATTAATGTAATTGGGTTCTCACTTCTCACCGGTGGCTAAGTAGCAAGATGTCAAAGAACCTGCAATGTTCATGAAGCCCATGGCTACCATTTCCTTGTTCCCATCAATATGGTATCCTTTAATGGAAGCAAAGGATCGACCAACCGCGATAGCTTCCTGAGCAAATGAATAAAATTTTGGGTTAAGAGAGTTATAAATTGAATAGTTTTTTTTTTTTTCAAAATAATTTATGAGAAAAGAATAGAGACTGACAGTAAGAGCAACAATTGCGCAAATTAGTCCAATTTTGGCAGCTTGTCCAACATGCGGGCTTCTGAGTTGTAGCTGATGAGCTGAAATTGGATTCAAGCCGCCTTTGAAGTGTTTTACTATCTGAACTCCATGCTTATCGGCTTTTGTAAAGTAGACAATCAAAGTCGATAAAATGACTGAAATAAGAGGAGCAATAGCCGGTAGCCAGAAGAGCTTTTTGTTCCTTCTGCCCTGCATTCAAGACCAGCTTACCAAGGCTTCATGAATCAAATGGGAAAGATTACCCAGATCAGAAAAATAAGATACGAATATTTAAGTACTTACAATGAACCTTGCAATTAGGATGAAGATGAAGAACGAGCAACCAAGGATAAAATTCAAAGGAAACCACTGTCATAGAAAGCACAAATGAGAAATGACAAATAGAACAGTGTCAAAGCTTAAAAACAGTGCAGTTTCACCAAGACTTACAGGTTGGTGAAATGAACCAAAAACTGCCTCCAATACAGAGATTATGTCGGTTTTGGTAGTGAAATGAGCAATCCCAAGAAGCCCCTTGAGTTGTTGAAGGCCAATTACAATGGCTGCACCTCCCATAAATCCAACAATGGCGGCATGTGAGAAAAAATCCACAAGAAAGCCCAACCTGAATAAGCCAAACACAGCTTGGAAGGCTCCGGCAAAGAAAGTGACAGTGAAAACAAGCTTCCTGTAGGCAATGGGATTGGTTATGGGGTCCTCTAGTTTCTGAATCATGGAGGAAAGTAGCATCGACACCACAGCTACTGGTCCTATGGCTATCTCTCTTGAACTCCCCATTAAAGCATAGATCATAGGTGGTACAACGCTCGTGTCTAAATCACAAAACAGCCAAATTATAAATCACATACACATATCAGAGATGAGTTTCACTTCATACTTTGACAAAGTGTGACGATAATGTAAGTAAAAACAGAGGAAACAGAGTAATTTTTTGCAAACTTACATAAACCATACTGAGGATCAAGTTTGGCTAAACTAGCATATCCAATACTCTGCAACAAATTCAATTGACACATTATTAGATACAAAAGGACGATCCAATGTACGAGACTTCGGCTAAAACAGGTTTAAGGGCACGGGCGACTGTTCAGATGAACCCTCAGTGCTTCAATTTTTTTTTTCTTAAAGCTAAACAAACACATTAAATGGTAAGATAAAATAATAAAAATGTATGGTTATATAACATTAGAGGTTATGCTATGATACACACCATTAAAAGGGGTATTTATCTAATGCAAGTTATGACATTTGTGGGGTATCATTACTGAATCCTTTTAGGGTCAAAACTGAAAAAAAAAAAAAAAAAAAAGTTATAACCAAATACAAGATAAGGTATAACCAAAATATTTTGGATCATCACCAATATTAAAATGAGTGTTCACAATGAGTATAATCAAATCATAACTAATACCAGGTCATAATCAAAGACTAAAAACATTACACACCAAGAGGAGGTGTGTATAGTAAAATTTTCCATCCATATATGCATGCATATATAACGAATTAACAGAGTTGTTGAATGATAAAAGAAGTTTGAACCCTCTTAATTTCTTTGCTGGAGTAGCCACTGCTGAAGAGTACCTGAGGAATGCTGAGACTAGCAAGTGTTAGACCTGCCATTAAGTCATCCTTGAATTTTGATGCCTTGTAGTTTCCTGCCCAGCTGAGGATTGGAAATAGGCCTTGCAAGACTGAAACAGCAGATCTTGACCGACATAGCTTCGATGGAGGAGAGAGAGTTTCTTTTATTGAACTGAGGAGCTCATGAAATAGGCTTGGTGGGTTAGGAGAGTTTAGCAACCATTGAGTCCTCGCCATCCTGCTTTTGCTCTTTTCATTGTCAGTGTGCTCATCTTCCACACTGAAGCTCTCAGTAGGCAGAGAACCCATTTGTTGTTTGAAGTGTTTGGGTGAACTCTTAGAGCTACTTTGTTTTGGTGTAGTAACCAACTCTATTAAATACACATGCCTATCCAAAATTTATAAGTATTCTGGTTGAGTGGTGCTACATGCACTACAGGGGCAAAAATAAAACAACGTCATTGTTGAGCTGCATTTAGAATTCAAAGTGGCATTTAAGAGTCCTTTTCATTCTAATAAATAAATAAAAAAGAGTCCTATTAAGGAAAATGAGAAATTCAAAGATTTTTTAAGGGATCAATGTGTTAGGATTTTAGACGTGTTTGACTTAAGATTAATTAGTAAAGTTTGAGGGATCTTTGGACTATATGAACTAAATTTGAGTGATTGGATTAAGGATTTATGGAAGAATTTGTGACTGAAAATGAAAAAGGAGGGGAAAGTGTATAACATAAAAGATAATTTTTATTTTATTTTATTTTTTTAAAATTTTTTATTTTTATTTTTTTTATTTTTACAAATTTTTAATCCAAACATAATTTAAGTGTACAAAACAAAAACTAATTTTTTTTTTATTTTTTATTTTTATAAATATTAATTCAAACATAACTTTAGAGGTAGATGGGGAACAAAAACAGCTATGAGAAGCCCACAGGGGCAAAATTATTGTTGTGTAATGCTAAAAACACTAATGGCATGTTTGATTGGAAGGATTAAAGCATGGCATTAGGATTATTAATCCGTGGGCCCAATCATCCTATGTTTGTTTTGACATTTTAGTTTAGGATTATTAATCCAATGGATAATTAATCCAACAAAGGTAGGGGTGAGATAGTTAATACCACACTAATTTGATAGGATTATTAATACCTCACTATTAGTATTGTGAATCAAACATGACCTAAAAGTTTTATTAAATTTTTTACTAAATGTCTCGTATGAGCGTGAGACCCACATGGTATGAGTCTCACATCCATGTGAAATATTTGGTAAACCTTTTAGAATCTCTAACATTTTTTATTATTGTTTGTTTTGTTCTTAGGATGAGTTGATGTGGTGCTCCAACTTAATTTTTATTAGTTGAATCAATCAAATCTACCAACTTTATCTCTCTTTTAGGGAAATAATAAGACATTTATCCCTTAATAAATTGTGTAGAATAACCCCAGGGGTTGTAGCATTGTGGTAAGGCCTTGGGGTTTAAGCCCCAAGGTCACAAGTTCAATTCTCCCCTTCGGCCAATCTTCTGAGCGAAGCACTGTTGGTTAGGAGGTTGAACCTCAAGTTGTCTAGTCAGCACTTGGTGTGGGTTCAATGCTCCCCTGCTGTGCGAGTCCTGACTTAAGCGGAGCTAGTTGAATCAATCAAATCTACCAACTTTATCTCTCTTTTAGGGAAATAATAAGACATTTATCCCTTAATAAATTGTGTAGAATAACCCCAGGGGTTGTAGCATTGTGGTAAGGCCTTGGGGTTTAAGCCCCAAGGTCACAAGTTCAATTCTCCCCTTGGGCCAATCTCCTGAGCGAAGCACTGTTGGTTAGGAGGTTGAACCTCAAGTTGTCTAGTCAGTACTTGGTGTGGGTTCAATGCTCCCCCGCTGTGCGAGTCCTGACTTATGCGGAGCTTGTCTTGGGAGGTCGGGGCAAATTCCCAGGTTATAGTCTCTAAGTTGTCTAGTCAGCACTTGGTGGTCGGGACAAATTCCCAGGTTATAGTCTCCAAGTTGTCTAGTCAGCACTTGGTGTGGGTTCAATGCTCAATGCTCCCCCGCTGTGCGAGTCCTGACTTAAGCGGAGCTTGACTTGGGAGGTCGGGGCAAGTTCCCAGGTTATAGTCTCCAAGTTGTCTACTCAGCACTTGGTGTGGATTCAATGCTCCCCCGCTGTGCGAGTCCTGACTTAAGCGGAGCTTGTCTTGGGAGGTCGGGACAAGTTCCCAGGTTATAGTCTGCTCGCTCGGAACGGCTAACAGGACATCTTGGTGATCTCTGCAAGGGGTGCTGCCTTGGACCTGCGGGAGGGTAGGGAGGATTTTCCTGTAACAAAAAAAAAAAAATTGTGTAGAATAATATTCCAAAATCAATCAACAACTTCTCCCCCTAGGGTTTCTATGCTTGAACATGATAAACAATGGCATTATTTGCTTGTTTCCACTTTTCAAAAAATAATTTTTAGAAAATTCTACTTTCTTATTTTTCGTATTTTTTTATTTTTACTGAATTTTTTTAACATTTTAAGCAACTTTTTTACTTTTTAGACACACCTAACATAAATACACCTAAAAAGTAAAAAAATTGTAAAAAAAATCTTTTAAAAATTCACTAAATACCAAAAATACAAAAAAATACAAGAATTCAGTACATTTTTTATATTTTTATGTATTTATTAATTTTTAAAAATATTTTTTTATAAATTTTTTACTTTTTAGATACATCTAAGTAAGGTGCATCTAAAAAAGTAAAAAAAATGTTTAAAATTTAAAAAATATTTACTAAAAATAAAAAAATATAAAAATTAAAAAAATCAATTTTCAAAAAATTTAATTCAAAAAACTCAAACCAAACACACGATTAACTTTTTGGGGATAGAGCAAGAAGATGCTCCCAATGGGATGCAACCAATTATTATGGGAGGAGGATCCCCCCAGTCCGATGCAGTTTTTGGTCCGTCTTTATTGCGAGTTTGATAATTTAAATTATTTATTTTGATAAATATTTTATGTATTTTATTTACACAAAAAAATTAAATCAATTTGGTAATTATAATTAGTTCAATTTATTGTATTTGTTATAAAAAAATTTATGATTTATTTTTTGTATGAAAAATATAGTAAATTGAACTAGTTATAGTTATTAGATCGACTTAGTTTTTTTTGTGTATGGAATTTACGAAGTACTCGACAAAATAAAAGGTTTAGATTATCGAAATGAGAGTCGTAGTGAGCCCAACAGACCATAACAACACCCTTCAATCTAGATTTTAAACTGAAAGGGATCCTCCTTCATTAATTTATTCTAATTTGATCGACTAAAATGGTAGAAAATGACCAGAGTATTTTTTTTTTTAAAGTTAAAAGTAAAATAATTTAGTGTGGTAGATAACAAAATAAGAAAAGCGACTAACCTTAATGTAAGTATATTTTAATTTTGAAATCATAATTTATAAATAGTATACACTTAGTTTTGTTTTATAGTACTCTATGATTGATAAGTTGTAACTTAGTGTATGTGATTGTATAACATATAATAAAATACCACAAATTAATCTAAGGGTAGAGAATATTTATAAAACTTTTTATGATATTTTTTTTTTTCCATAAAATCGAGCATTACTCTATTGAGTTGATAATGAGAAAGTAAAATTTAAAAATATTAATTTCTTAACTTTTAAATAATCAATTTTTTTCAGTTTATTTAAGTTATTTCTGCCTAATAAAGTATAAACATAAGTAATAATAAACAGTCTGGTACAAACTTTTAAATAAAAATAAACTATAATCACATCTTTGAAGTTGTAACAAACGGCCCCAATAAAGGTGTCAAAACGATTGTTTTGGTAAAATATTGAAGGGTTTCGATTTTCTCAAGTGGTCATTTTAATTTGAGAGAGCGTTTGAATTTGGTAAGTTTATTTTCTGGATTGATTTCAGTAATATGAATCGTTCATTTTTTAGTACTTGTTGAATATGATATTCATATAAAAAATTAAGATGATCAAATATCGATAATTATATATTCGGATCATATTTATATTAAAAAAAATTGATAACTACTTTTAAAATTATAATTGTCGTTTAATTTGTTAAAAATAAATGTAATTCAAATTTATAATTTCTGATATCTAATTATTTTAATTTGTTACCTGAATATTTTACCAAACAAGATCTACAAACCATTCAAATCACCCAGATCAATCCCAAATTAAACCGTCAACGCCAAACTCTCGTAGAATCCCATCCTGATACTGAAGGTGGAAGGCGTACCAAACTAGCAGACGTTGTTGACTCGTCCTACATTAATTTATTAATCTTTTGCAAGGTCGCAAGAGCAAACTGAACCATGTGAGAATCTAAGATTTTTATTATGGAGGTATGAAAATTTATTTAAGAATGTAAATTTTTATAATTTTTAATTATTTAAAATTTTTTAATATAATATTTGATATTTTTAAAATTTTTAAGAGGTACGATCGCCCCCACTGACCCCTAGATTCATCCTTGAGTGTATATAGATAGTTGTATACGGTAATGCTACGGTGAGAAAAAATTATTTGAAATTTTTTTAGAAATTGTTAATTAGATTCATTTTGAAAAAAAAAAAATTACAAAAATTACAAGATATTGTGAATTAGATTTATTGTGATATGACCTACACTAAATTTGAATTTATTACACTAAATTTTAAGTCATTTTTTGAAATAATTTTTAGACTGATCGCTAACCTTTTCCATAGTTATATGGACTTCTTTTTTTTTTTTTTTTTTTTTTTTTTTTTTTTTTTTTTTTCAATTGAATTGTCCCTATTATTTAATTTTGTAAATTTATTTTAAAGGGCACTTTTTCATAAATCCTTTTTCACCTACTTATGTTTCATTTACTTCACATTATTTTCCTATATTCCAATAAGTCTTATGAGTGATATAGTTACCAAAATACCCCTAATAATATTTGCGTTTACAGTGTAAATGTTCCGTGATATAAATGTTCACACTGTCAATGTTCACATTACCAAATTGCTAACCATTCAAAAAATATTTGTAAGGATAGAAATGTTCATAAAATACTTTAAATATGAGAATTAGGATTTGGTAGATCAAATGTTTAAATAATAGGACTTATTGAAATAAAAGAATATCTTATGGACTAATTGAGATACAAATACTTGAAAAATGATTTTATAATAAATTTCCCATATTTTAAATACTAAAACTTTATTACTACTATACACCACATCATTATATATATATATATATATATTTTGTGTGTTTATATTACATTTTCCCCAAATAACATGGATGTTTGGGGTTAAGAAAAAGAATAAGTTTATAAATCTACCCTTATCTACTTTGAATTTATCCCAAATGATGATGTGTGATTGAGATTGAATTTGTGTAGTATAGAATCCATGTGCAGAATCAATCTGAACGACAAGATAATAATTCCAGATAATTTTTGGATAGTTAGGTTTGGATTTATAATA